ATATTTGATAAGGGTTTCTCATTTATGTGTTCATAGCTAAAGATCAATGCTTTGGATAAAAAAACTCAAGAGAAAAGAGACGAACCTTTGTTCCTTGAAATAATAGTGGATGATGTTAATGATAATAATCCAGAGTTTGAAGGCAGCCTTAATTTCAATGTGGATGAGCAAACTACAAGTAAGTAGCAGCAAACTTAAAAGTCATGTCATATTCATGGAAGCATTTCCTGTAAACATCCTCTAAATAAATAATTTTGCCGATAGATATGGTAGTGGGGAAAGTGAATGCTACAGACAAAGATGATCCCAAAACTGATCACGTTAGGATCAAATTCACACTCAAAGATGGGCTGGAACATTTTGCCATCAACCCAGATACAGGTGTCATCACCACGGTGTCCAATAAACTGGACCGAGAGGTAAGCACCGCCATCTCTAAAGACAAATGATTGTGTTCCTAAAGCTGTTATTCCCTAGTTTGAATTCAACTCTAATTTCATTCCATTTCTGAAATATATTTTAAGACAAAAGACAAGCATATGGTGACTGTAGAGATCAGAGACTTGAAGGGGGCACCAAACGGTCTTTCTAACACAGCTACGGCAACGATCACCTTGAACGACATCAATGACAACCCACCAACTTTCAGAGAAACATCTGTAAGTGCTTAAAAGCTGACTAAATGAATATTAAATTTCAAAGTGTAAGAGGATGTTTGCTGCCAAATATTAGACAGTCTGTGTGACACAAATTGCTGGCTTTATTTGTGTGCGCATAAAAAAAATAATGTTGGTGTACATGGGTACCAGGAACCGGCCTAATCCCTAATTCAAAAACACCCTGTGATTTTTGTTTTTTGTTTTGTTTGTCTTGTTTAGTTTAAAGCCACCACTCCAGAAAATAAGGAGGGGGAACATCTTATCCTTAGAATTCCTGTGGACGATAAAGATTTGGAAGGCACAGATAACTGGGTTTCCAAATTTGTCATCACAAAAGGAAATGAAAATGGATATTTCAGGATTGATACTGATCCCAAGACAAATGAAGGACTTCTCTATGTTACAAAGGTTTGTTGTTAGACTCAAGAATTGTTTAAGCATAATATGATTGATACTTATTCACAGGACATCAACTTTTATCTCTTCATTTACATTTTTTTACGCCCCACTATGTTCTCTAGCCCTTAGATTACGAGAAGACCAAGAATATGGAGCTCATGATTTCGGCCCAGAATAAAGCAGAGCTGAAAGGCACCACTGCCCAGTGGCTGTCTGTCCCAGTGAACGTTGCTGTCACTGACATCGACGAAGGCCCTGAATTCCTTGCTCCGACTGTTACCTTCACAGTTGATGAAAACTTACCAAATGGCACAATAATAGGAACATACAAAGCTATAGATCCAGAGACCAAGAGCAGCGACGGAATCACGTAATCCTCTTTTTTTTTTTTTTTTATTGCTTTAATTTTTAAAAGGGATTTTCTTTTTGTGGGTTGACAAAACTGTAGAAAGGACTTGGTCTAGAATGTTCTGACCTGTGGTACTTTGTCTTCACTCAGATATTACAAGATGAATGACCCAGGCTCATGGGTTAGAGTGGACAGACTATCAGGAGAGCTGACCGTTTCAAACACAATCGACCGAGAATCCCCTCTCGTCAAGGATGGAATGTATAACTTAACTGTGCGGGCCGTTGATGCCAGTAAGTTGTCACAGAATGCACTGCATAGATAGCAACATCAGGATAGGCACACTTTCTTGTTTTTAAACTACACAGATATATCTCCGTTAGCCAAAACAATTATCAAAGCCTCCTGTGCTTTTTAGTCCGCAAATTGTTTTCTATGCACAGGCTATTCAAAAGAAGTTGTTTGTATGCCATTTAATTTAACTTATTTGGGTTACATCATATAGAGTCATGGGAAAACAATCCTCAAAACTGGCAATGGCATCCAGGATTATGGTCAAGATGAACAGCTGAATAGGAGATGACAGGGACAAGAATGTGCAGAGCTAATGGAGCATTTTTCCATTTTTTCATAGTATTGGGAAATGCAAAATGTGTTGTCACTGATTACAAGTGTTTAGTTTAAAAATTCATTTTTGAAAAAAACAACAAAACACATGCAATTAGATGAATTTGTCATGACTCATGTATAAAATGGTTAATGATTGATGTTTGATAAATGCACATAGATTCTGTGGTTTGCAGACAACTTGTTAAACCACCAGATTGGTACAGGTTGTTCTTTCTCATTCTTCCTGATTCCTTTTTGATGACAGCATTTTGTATCAACCTTGTGTCTGTTTAGAATTAAAGCCACACCTGGTACCTGTCTGAACATACTGTCTTTGCTTTACCAGAAAAAAAAAAACACCTGTTGGCATAGAACAATCTCTATTCCTGGACAGTGACTCATACGATCTTGTTTGATTTTCGGTACCAAGGAAAGTTGTAATTGTTTCCTTGGGAAAAAAAAAACTTTGATGGAAAATAAGCAAACAAATTATATGATCTTAGGTTTTCTGTGCAGACTTGTTCAAGTTCTTGTTAACTAGTTTTATTCCTTTGAATTTTAGGTTCCAAGACAGGATTAGGACAAGTTATTCTTTTAATAAAGGATAAAAATGACAACACTCCATCGTTTCCAAAGAAACTGCAGATGTGTGAAGGAAAGGATGACATGATGACCTCCGTGGTGTTTTTGGTTGAAGACCGTGACCTCATTCCATATTCTGGCCCCTTCAGTTATGAAATCCCTGCTGAGCACAGTAGCAAATGGCTTGTGAGATCACATAATGGTTGGTATTATCTACCTTCATAAGTTATTTTTTGATGTTATGCATACAGTTAGAGTAGAATAGAATGATGGTTAGCCCTCTATGTTTTAAGAACTTGTTGAAAATAGTATTTTTCTGATATGAACATTATATATAACCATGGTTAAAGGTTACCAAAAAAGCATGCCAATCTTTTATTAAAATGTCTTTATTTCTGCAAATAACCCAAAATGTTTGGAATCCAGTTATTGAAATATATCAGAAACAAATAAGAAACTTTGGAAAATGTGTTATTTTGTGCAAGAAGTCCAAAAACAACCACTACTACCCCTAGTGATAGGCAACTCATTCAGTTGTTTACATCCCTTATTTTATGTTGCAATTAGTAATTTCCATAAATAGTTCTATTGATTTTAATGGGTTAAAAGATTAATCCAATCAATAGCTATTTTTTACACTTACTAAATTCCTGTTCAAAAGCCTTTGTACTCAGTGTTTTTTTGTATACCCTTAAATCTGACAAAAAGCAGCATTAGGGGCGTGGGGGTCCAATGGGAGTATTAAAACTTAAAAACATCTCAGTGCAACGAAAGTTACACTGTAACCATGGTTCTATGAATTCCTGAAGGACGGCCAGTCACACCGATCACTTGAAACTTTCCAGTGAGAGGGTCCTAGCAGGTGTTATTTATCGACTTTGTTTACACTTGACCTGGAATTATATCCAGGAATGATTCAAGCAGGTCTCATGTTAAGACAAGCTCAGACATTTGCAAGGCTAATGACAGGTTGTTTATTTTATCAATATATGGCTTTTGATTAAAAAGTGATTAATCGCAATTAATTAACCACAGACCCTGTAATTAACACAATTTAAAAAAATGTATAGAGTCCCATTGGTAGTTGCAGTATGTTAAGTTACTCAAAGTTGCCAAAATCTGTACTTTTAAAAGTGAAGAAATGGATGCTTTTTTTTTTTTTTTTTTTCTAATTACATGGCATTATAATTTTTTAAAGAGTTCTACATGTCTTTCTTCCTAAGCTACTGCCGGAATGTTGCTGGCAAAGGAAAAACTTCCCAGAGGGCTTTACAATGTCCCTATAACTGTGAACGATCAACAAGGACATGGTGAAACACAGATGACAGAAGTGATGATCTGCCAGTGCGTAAACAACAAATGCATAACCAAAGATCGCTCTATAGCCCTGGGACCGCTGGGTATTCTGGCCTTGCTCTTACCCCTGCTCCTCCTCCTGTTGCTCGGTAAGTCTTTTTCCTTAATCATCTCGACAGCACATCAGGGAAGACTCCCTATGTGCTGATAAATAAAATGTGATGTATAAGAAATTAAAGACAAGCAAATCAAATGGATGTTGTAGTTATAGGGTGTCTTGAGATTTAGAAATGTTTTCTGAGGCATGGAGATGATGCAAAGAAGCATTATTTAGAAAAAGAAAGCTGAGGAGAGCGTGGTCAACATGCACAAATAGTGAACAGCTACTATGCCAAGCTGCTTTGAGGGGTACTACATGATATTTAGATTTCAGAGGCCAGTGGCTATCTAGGGCTGCACAATAGTAGAAAACCTTTCTATTGCAAATTGTAAATAAACATTGCAATATAAATTTTTATACATGCATATTTCCTTAATTCCTCTAATCTCTGCTTTCATAACTTTTAGCTTTGACATATCATTTGGTTCTGCTACCCTGAGACTTTCTTCAAGGGAATCATTCTGGTTAAAGCAGTTTATATAAAAACACGAACAGTGACGTGGATGACGACAGGGGCAGGCAAATGTTGCAGCTGATCTACCCTTTTTAGATTTTTAATTTACATGTTGATTTAGTCTCAAGTTCTGTTCCAGTTTTAATGCTATTTGCAGCTTTAATGCTGTAAATACTAAGGCTCTAAAAATGTTCAGCTGATCATACAGAAGTTGAGTACAGATTATATTATCCTGTCAGAAATTTTAATTTAGAACAAATCGAGACCAAGATAGTATTTTTTTTATGTTCTCACTAACAGTACAGTATAACAAATTGGAAAAAACACAATTTATTTTGTTTGTAGAACATTCTAGAATAGAGTTTTAAGGTAAAAGTTTAATTTGACTTCATAGTTAAGTAAAATATAGACCCTGTACTTCTTTATTGCTTTAACTTAAGTAAAGTATTGTAGGCACTTATAAAACTGTCTTTTTAACACATGTATACGTAAATCTACTTAGTTAGTTAATTAGTTAATGTGGCTACTTTTGACACCTTTTAATTTATAAAATGAATTAACATGTAAGAATCTTTAGAATAAACCTTTCATCCTAATGTCAACATTATTGTTAGCTATGTAGTGGGTATATTATACCTGTTGAACAAGGAGTGCCACGCTGGACTTTGGAATGTAACAGCTCTTTATAAAGCTTCAGGCGACATTTTACCTTTGCTTTAATGTTGTACAGTTGCCAGAAAAGCAGCTCCAGTTTGCATTAAAATGACACAGTAGCTGTGTAACTGAACAAGAGATTTTCATGATCTGGTTTATAGTTTATGAGCGTAGCAGAGAAAGCTATACGTTTCATACAGGCAGCTCAGTGACATTAAAGTTTGCTCTTCCAGCAATACAAAAGATTGTGACATTTAAACTTTTATTAGCTGCACTGTTAGCACATTTAGTCTCACTAACTATCAAAGGAGCTTTTTATTTTTCTGATTTTAAACCATTCATCTGGGAATTGGTCTTCTAACATGTTGCTACCGTTTCAAGGAATTTTTAAGCCCAGAAGCAGAGCAACATTCTTTGTTTTGTTGTTTCTAGAGCTTAACTCTAGTTGCTTCTCAATAGTGCTCCAGATCAGATTTTCTATATCTGGTGCTCAGCCTTACAGCGTTCTGAGGGGATTTATTTTGAAAAAAATTGTTATTGTTGCAGCATCGTCACAGAGCCACACTAGAAAATCTGCCACTAAACAAACTATCAATTCAATGCATCCTACTATCCAACTTCTTTTAAATAAGTACTGTTAGCCACAAAAATAAATATGCCACTTGTTTACACCTTTCTTTCCGTCTGTGTTAATATTACAGGTTTACTGCTGTTCTTTATCTGCACTACAAAGACTGAGAAGCACCGAATTGAGGACAACGCATATAGTAGTGGGATCCTACTTCCATCGAACACAGAGGCACCCGGCGATGAAGTGGTAAACATATTGTCCATGGAGAATTAGAAACTCCTCTGCTGTCTTCATTTTTCCAATATTTAGCACAGAGTAATTCATTAATTGGGGACTTTTTTTGTTTTTCAGGATTCTAGTCTCATACTTCTTCCTAATTCTGGGATTGAGCAGGCAGTGAAAGGTTCACTCAAGGGTTCTTTGCTGAATGTCGGGTGGGTGGGAAACAGGAGCGCAAGCACAATCGGAGGACACAGCCTGCACGAGAATGGATTTCAAAAGAGCACTGGTCTTAACACATTGAATATGCATACGATTTCCTCCAGCCAGTTTGACCAGTATGGTCAGCACGTTGGGAGTCAAGTTTTCAATAGTGGCATGGATTATGGTCTCTACGGCATGGACAAATCTCAACGTCAGGCTTGGCAGACAAACAGCCTTTATTTGAAACAGGTAAGATTAACACACAAATAAATGTGGTTTTGATTTTTGGAATTTTGTCATTTTATCTAAATGTTCAACATGCGGTGATAGCCTTTTTCCCTTTATAAATTATTTTTTCTTTAGCTCACTGGTAGGTCTACTATCAGACTGCCATTAACATCCTAAGCTGCCTTGTTTAATCACTTTGCACTGCAAGTTGCATCTTATCATGCAGGCTTAGCCCTCACACACAGTAATAACACATAACCCCTCTCTGTTTCCCTCAGAAACTGGCATACATGAAAGGCGCAGGGGATGAACGCTATGCGGATGACCTCATCCACGCCTACGGATATGAGGGGACGGGCTCTGTTGCCGGCTCCATTGGATGTTGCAGTGATTTCGATGGCAGAGAGAACTTAGAATTTATGAACACTCTCGGGCCAAAGTTTAAAACTCTTGCATCTGTTTGCACAAAGAGATGAACAAAGACGAAACAGTGGTGTTTACTTTTCATTGTACAATATTTAGATGCTTGGGATGTGAATGCTTGGAATGGACCTGAATGACGATCCTGTTTGTGTTTTGTTTTTATTGTTTCATGCTAATATTTTTTATTTTGTTTTTTAGTTGAAGTCTTTTGCACTGAAAACAAAGCAGATGTATTTTTTTTATGTGTTCCTGTGTGCTAATTTGCTTCTATAGCCTTGGTTATGTCCAGATTAGGTTGTATATGAAGACAGCGGAAAGTGTAAAATCTTTTTGTAATTACTTTTGGTTTTTAGGTTTTTATAAATCTTATCATAAAAGAAGTTGTATATTTGCAGTTGTATAGTGCACTTTTTACTATTTCAGACTTCTTGTTTCCTTTACTTACATTTCACAGTATTTAATACATACAACAAGTTTCCACATGCATAACTCATTTAGATTTTTGGTTCCTTTCGTTTTACTTTAGGTTTTTTCCACTGCCTGTCCAATTTTTGTAGTAATTGTGTGGAGGCACATTCCAGGAGCATATAAATGTGTGTGACTGGGTGTAGCTCCTGCTGAGTTTCAGAGGGATTATTGCAACATTCTGAGACAATGAGCATGTGAAAGTTAACAGATTGGTGTAAAAAAGAAGGGGTGGGGTGTGACAACGCCTTCAACGGAATGCGTGCCCTTACACAATGCAAGGTCAGACAATTCGCTCATTATTGAAGGGGATCAAATATTTATCGTTAGGTAAAGTGATTTGTAAGTGCATTTTTGTACTACTGTATGTCACATGATGTAAGTTTTGCTGCTGTCATTTTTTTTTAATGAGCTGAAAAGTGTGATAAATTCTAGTAAAATCTGAAGCTAGGTTAATGGATATAGTTTAGTGGGGAAAACCATAAAAAAACATAACAAAAAACAAAATAATCAATGTTCCAACTTGTAATTCATCTGACTTTACCAAAGTCTGTTACCAGGTTGAAGCAGGTGCTTTGTCAGCTTATGTTTTGCTGCTCCGGTAAATAAATTACTGGGTGTGGCCTTCTGAACAGTACAGTGTTGCAATAGCTCGGTCCTGTAAAGACAAGCTTACAGTTAGTTTGTTGTCAAGTAGGTTACATGCCAGAGTTAGAACTTCCTTAGTTTTTTTTTTTTATGCTACTCAGTTCCTCAATATAAAAAGCACAGCATGATAATTGGCAGCAATAATAGCAACACGCTTCCTAAAAAAATAATTTATAGTTTTTGTTGCTTGCAAGTTTAAAAAAAAATCTTTTTACCATAAAATATTCCCTTTTTAGATGAATAAAACCATCTACTAGAATAGTAAGGAATGTCCAAATGAACATGTATGCATAGTAACATGAAGTACAAATTGCAATAGAAATACCTTCTTTGTATTGATTTTTTCTAATATTTCATAAAGCTGTTATTTGTAAATTAACAAAGGTCATTATTGTTAATGCCCACTGACTTTACTGGTCAACACTGCTTACCTGTTAATAAAAACATTTGCCAATCGGGCCATCTAGACACAGTCGAGACAAGTGATTACAGATCAAACAGAGACTTTGAGAAGGGAGACTATATTCTCTAAGTGTTTCTAATGTGACAATGTGACAATTTTTAATGTTAGATGGGCTCTTCCAAGTACTGCAGAAACAACAAACACGTACATCCCATAGAGCACCAATGATGCAAGAGACACAGACTGTTTTCAATCCTACTACATTGAGGAAAACTATAGGTTACTGACTGACGCTTCATACATATATATATATATATATATATATATATATATATATATATATATATATATATATATATATACACTATACATACAAGCGGATATCTCTGTTTCTTTTAATTTTCAAAAAATTGCGTTTGTTATTGGGAGGGTTTGTCAATACTTATGATAGCTGGATTATTGGATTCAACATAGAAAGAATGAGGTAACCAAAAAGTAATATTTTAAACATTATACCTTCATTGTAAAATTGTGTTTTTACAGTTCCTTAGACATTTTTTTTTTCGACAAAAGCAGATATCTTCATTATTTGTTTTTGAGTAAAGGCAGTTAAATCCAAATAAACATTACATCTTCTGGTTACATCAGTTGAGCACAACATTTGTATATTATATGGTGTAAATAAATGTAATTCAAGTCAGTAACTACAAGTAAGATAAAAAAAAATACATCTATAAAAGAAAAGGCATTTATAAAATAATATTTTGAGACGTTCAAATACAAAATTATTAATTGCAATAATGTACGCACATATTATAATACAACTTTGGAATTATGTAAGGCTGTAAAAAAGATATGAACATAAAATAATTTGTTGTTAGACATTCCACAGGGGGCTAATTAGGAGAATTTAGGAAACTAACCTGAGAGAATATTTTTTATAAACAGCCCTAATATATGAAAAGGCCATTTTGACACAGATACCTGTATGATAATACAGGTATCTGTGTCAAATAATGTATATAAGACTTGCTTTACCAAGTATCTTTCATTTGACACAGATTATTTAGGTTGTTTCTACAGAGGAGTGTGAAATCTTTCACTTTCATTTGAACAAAGAGGATGGAAAAAGTCGTGGAAGCAGCCTAAAAATATATCAACATGAGATACAACACTTGTTCCGTCTCATTCATTCTTTAAGGCAAATAATAAATAGAAAATACAGTAAAAGAAAATCTTTTAAAAGGTTTTATGTAATAAGAAGGAAAAAACAAATTTCTTTTAGGGTTGTCAGAGATGGGTTTTTTTAAGCAGCAGTAAAGCATAAACTCAAGTCCCGTTATTCCATACATCACTTTGTATAATGATCAACCTTGTAGGCACTTGAACCATAATGCTCCTTTACTTCTGTAAAGAAGCAATCAGTTCTAAGGCAAGAGCATGACATTGGTGCATTGCTTGTAATTATTTGAATTCATACTGTGAAAACAACATACGGTGTGTTCAGTTTCCACCAGAGTCTGGAGATACTCAACTCCATCAGAGTTCGTATGAAGCTCAACTTTTTGCTGACAACATAGATACAGAAAGCTACCAGAAATGTTGGGCTGTATGACGAAAAGCAGAATCAGAATCAACCCCTTGGGTCATGTGTAGCTTTTGTCGCCAAACCTCTAGGATTTAACTCACCTTCACAGATTTAAATAAAAGGCTTCGAACTTTTTTCTTCCTGTTGTTCAATACTAGCAATAGCTCAATAGTAGGCTACTACGTGCAGTCAATTATACATGCAGCATTCTGTATATGGTATAGAAATCTCTATTTTATGGAAGATTAAGAGCAGACATTAAATAATGATTTGCATGCTTACAGTAAAAAGGAACAAAGGAAAGTAAAAGTTTAATAATATCTTGCTAAGTACTTCCTTCACTGTTTAGATGATGAATTGTGGGCTACTGTAAAGCTTGAGTGTAACTAAGTTACCAATTAAGATATATCATGCACAACAGGGTCAGTGTGGGTGTTGTGACAGGATATTTAACTATAAAAAGCAAAAAAAGAAATCTTGTTGCAATTACTGTAATAGACACTAGAATTCACTGTTTCCTCATAACCTAAGTGTAAAAAAAAAACGGAAGCTAGAAACTAGAGTGAAAACAACTCTGTGTGTCTCTCCGGTGTGCAATTAAAACAGCTTTAGTTAATTGGTGAAAACCACAGTAGGGCATCTAAAGGGAGGGGATGTATCAAGGTGCAGCAGGAGTGTTTAAAATGTACATTTCAGCTTACGGTAAAAGTACAAGGGCAGAAAAGGCCCTTAAATTAGAGGTCTTCAACGTTTGGATCGTTAAATACTTCACAATCAGCTCATCTTTGGAAAAATAGAAACAACAAATAACTAACAACCTGATTAGTTGCTTTGAATCCCCCAAAATAAAAAAAATAAAAAATTGGATTGTAAAGTGTTTAAATCTACTGTCAACCTGTCAGTGAAGCTTAAAGTCAGATGGGAATGCAGCTCGGGTAAAAATAAGAAAAAAAAGAATTGGAAGTGTGATTCTTTGAATTAATTTAGATAAAATTTTTTCAGTAAAACATTCAAAAGGTTATACATATAAAGATTATTGTATGCTTTCATACATTTCAATTTGAACTTGTGCTACAGTACATAACAATAATAAAATAAAAGTATTTTATTATAGGTATATCTATCTTATGGAAAAATAATAAGTCTACATCATCATCACTCTACATGGGAAATACTAGATAGAAAGAGAATAATCAATGAAATGTTGGTAAGCTAATAAAAATTTTGACCCTCCATTGAGTGCTCTGGCCATATTAAAAAAGAGTCGTTGTATGGAAAAGAAAACGTGTGATAGAAAGAAGATTTAGAGGAAACAGGCATAACTGCAACCTGAGAGTGTCAAGCACAGCCCATTTAACATTTTGAAAAGATTTGCAAGATGTCAACTGAAGCTGCAGACAGGTATTGTTTTAAAATCCCAATTTGTGAAACCTCAGCCCTTCATGCCTTATTCTGCTTATAAAATTTATGGAAAAAAATCATTATATGTTCAGCAGTACTTTGTATCTCTTTAAACTGCCAAAACTACCAAATTAGGTTTAATGAATGTGGTATCTTTTTATTTTCATATATATTTTTTACATTTTGGATCCATTAATACCGTTTAAAGTACAAAATCATATTTTGTGCAGTACTCAGAAATGCTCTTTTTTCAGCGTTACATATGGCCTCCAATTGAACCATAGAGGGCCCTTGTGAAAAATGTTCTGGGGGTACCACTGTTGCATAGTATTCATAAACCAAAGCATACACACATTTCGGGTACTGGAAGAACATTATCATGGCCGAAGCAGAAAGGTCACACTTAAAATCACGTGTAGCATCTGAAAAGTGGCCTGAGGAAGAAATGACATAGATGCTTCAGCTATAATCTGATGAAACTTGATAGAACCTGCCAGAAAAAACTGGACGGGTTAGAATAAATGTGTGCAAAGCCTGCAGAGACTTAACATGAAACTAAATATGCTTTGACCTATAACGCCAAAGATTCTTTTTATATTTTAATCCAAGAGACTTTTCTCATCTTAAATGAATGCTTAGAATTGGTAAACTGTGTGCATGCTCATATGTTTATCGAAAATATTTTTGATTGAATATATATTTAAGCTGCATGTTTTTTTTTTTTTTTAGCAAAGTTGCATTGCAGCAGGAAGGTCCCAGATTTGGTTCCCAGCCAACAGTCTCACTGCATAGAGTTTGCATGTTCTCTCTGTGCATACATGGGTTCTCTCTGGGTATAACAGCTTTCTCTTACAGTCCAAAAACACTGCTAGGACAATGGACTGGTGACCTGTCCAGGGTGTACCTAGTCTTTTGCTTTTAGACCGCTTAAAGGGGAACAGCGTTTTTTTTTAATATTGGCCTATTGATTTCACGTTATAACATCATGTTCTACTCACTATTAGTTTTGTGTCATTTGTAGCTGTTCCAAATATATTCGTTTTTGTAATCCAAGTAACGTCTTCCTATGGACAATGAGTTGAAGGCACAAACTAAACTGTTCATAATTCATTCTTTACGGTACGCCAGCATTCATAACATGTAGGCGAATCACTGTGCCCCAGACATCCGCGGTTTTATATTTTATATTTATATCTTTTAAAAACAAAGCTGAGTGTGTATGATGTCATCCGCGCGCGCCGGCGACCATTCATTCATCCTGTCCGCTGAACTGCTGCTAGTTTTACTCACATGCCTGGACGATGTCTAGTGCTACTACCACAGATGATCTCGCTCTCGAAATGGAATTGAATGATTTAGATTAGGCTAGCCAAATATATAAGGGGTAGAGCGTAGCCGCCTGTGGCCCAGGCTGCCTTTCACAACTCCAGTCCGGTGCGCGGATGACGTCATACACACTCCGCTTTGTGCCTGTTTGGCTGTTACACCATCCTGGAGAGAAATATCAGCTGTGCTGCTGCCATTAAATCCTTTGTTTATAGAGATTAAAGATCGGCCTGTTTTTCAGTGTAGTCCTGTTTCTCTGACTCTGACTGCCTGGATGTGCTGTCTTCATCCTCTGACATGGAAGCTGGCTCAGAGCTTTTCTGCCTGGCTGTGTGTTTCCTGGACCGGGCCGCCTTTTACAGCTGCTTTATGTATCTCTGCTTCTGCAAATGGTCGCTTACACTGAGCCTGGTTCTGCTGGAGGTTTGTTCCCGTTAAAAGGGAGTTTTTCCTCTCCACTGCCGCTACAAGCATGCTTAGTGTGAGGGACTGCATTCAAGTCAATGAGTCAATGCAATGAACTGGTTTTAGATAGCAAACGTTTAATCAATTTGACTGTATGATCTGGTGAACTGTAAAGTGCCTTGAGATGACATGTGATTTGACGCTATATAAATAAACTGAATTGAAACTGAAGTGAATAGTTCAAACCCTTTTTGATCCTTAGTTGTTGCATAAATAATCCTATGAGCACACAAAAACATATTTCTTATATTTAATCACTTAT